TGGAACATCTAAGGAAATTTTATCAGTAAAAACGGCTGTTGCCACCTCTAAAAAAATGTATAGAGAGGGAGACATAACTTCCACATAAACACAGCCCATGATTAACACGATCATTCTGGATGACCGAATGAGGAACGGGTTAACAACATGGAAGGAAAATCAATTCTCAGCTAAGGGAGTTTTTGACCCTAGATTTATGAAGGAATAAAGGGATCAAAAACGGCTTGAAGAATTGAGGCTCAGAAAATCGGTGCCCGTGGTTAACACGATCATTCCGGATGACCGAATGACGAACGAGTTAACAGCATGGAAGGAAAGTCATTCTCAGCCAACGGCTTGGAGTTTGACGCTCAGATAGTCTCACCTCAGCGGTTAATATGAGAATCGATTCTGGAGAACCGAATGATGAACATATTAGCAGTTTGGAGGGAGCCATTATTTCAGCAAGAGTTGTGACCCTGTAATTACGCATTGATGAAGGGATCAAAATGGCCTGGAGTTCGAGGACAGTGATTCTCACCTCAGCTTTTTAACACGAAAAATCATTCCGGATGACCGAATGACGAACGGGTTAACAGTTTGGAGGGAGCTGAGTCGTCAACTTGGCAAAAGTCGACCCTGTAATTACGTACGGGCAAAGGGATCAAAACGGCTTGGAGATGGTGTCAAGACTGTAAGATATGGATTGACCGAGCGACGTTCGGATAAAGTACGGATTGTCGCCCGGGGAATCGGAACTATGGTTTTGAAAAAGCTCGCCTCAGTCATGAACTTGATTCGGAAGCGAGTCGCCCTTTTAGCTATAAGTAAGGAATGACCCAATTCGGTGATCTTGCTTACAGTTCGAAAAGGGTTACCTCAGACCCCTAATATGGATGATACGAGCCAGAGAGAATAGTTCGGAATGCATCGGAATTATGGGTTTGGAAGGGAGATAGTCTCACCTCAGCTTGTTAACGCGTGGAATCATTCTGGATGACCGAATGACGAACGGGTTAACAGTTTGGAGGGAGCCCCTGTCCCAGCTGAGAGTTTGACCCTGTGGTCACGATCAAAACGGCTTGGAGGAATTCACCTCAGCTAAGAGTTTTGAACCTGTGCGTCACGAATGGAAAAGGGATCAAAACGGGCTCGGGAAAGGTGTCAGAACAATTGTGAAGGGATAGCCTCACCTCAGCTTGTTAACACACGGGATCATTCCGGATGACCGAATGACGAACGGGTTAACAGTTTGGAGGGAGCCTCTGTCCCAGCTGAGAGTTTGACCCTGTGGTCACGATCAAAACGGCTTGGAGAAATTCACCGCAGCTAAGAGTTTTGAACCCGTGCGTCACGAACGGAAAAGGGATCAAAACGGGCTCGGGAAAGGTGTCAGACATAAAGATACATAAGCCGAGTGATGTTCGGCCAGGTAGGAAGGTTTGTGAACGAAAAATCAAAGGAAAAATAGAGAGAGAAAAAAAGACATCAACAGATAAAGAGAGAAGTCTAGTTTATTCTTCGGCGTTACTAGCCGGAATATACAAGAAGAACAAAGGACAAAAAAGCAAAAATTACAAGTCTATGCTATTGAAGGATTGCCGTTCGGGGAAGATGAAGGTTGAGAGCTCCCTTCCAGCATCGCATCACCAGGCGCTGCTTTGGACCTTTTTTCCATGATACGGTCATATGTATTCCCGAACAGGTCGTCAAAGCCTAATTCGTCAGGATCGAACGGCTTGGGGAAATGCTCTAGGATCAAGTCAAGGTTCCTATCCAGAAGCAGGTCCTGACTTTGCTTCACAGTTTTCTCGGTCAGGTCATCCAAGAAAGATTTCCCTTCCGGGGTGCTGTCCAGGAGATCGATCCCTGCCTTGATGGGATCTTCGCTTTCACGTAAGAATTGGCCAAGGTGAGGACCCAGGAACTGTCGGGCCATGTTCTCCGGAGCGACGTTCAGCCCCTTGCCCCGTTGGAAATCCACTATCGATTGATGAGCAATCTGGGAAGTGTTGACCGTGTAAGGTTCGGGCAGATGGTCGCCAACGGCTTTATCAAATTTAATCCCAGCAGATTCAGCAGCTCGCACCTTGGCCCGGAGTTCTTTAATCTCCCGGTCGCGACGACGGGATTTCTCCTGCATTTCAGCCAGAGCAGCTTTTGCCTTCTCACCCTCCTTGGCCTGCTCTTGGAGATCGGCCGCTAACTTCCGAGCGCCAGAAAGAAGGACCTGGTTGTCATCCCGATCGCTGGCCAGGGCCTTCATTTCCTTTTCGGCCGCAAGGAAGGCCTTGTGATAGTATACACCAGCCTGAAAACGAGATTGCAATGAAAGTCAGATAAGATAAAACATGAAGAATAGAAAGGCATGGATCAGAATGAGGTGTACCTTGAGTGCTTCCTGGTGACCTGCTTCGAAAAGATCCGACCAGTGGGTCAAGTTCGTGAAGCTCGGGGGAACCTTGATTGCAGTGTGACACCACATAGAAGATGGCATCAGCCCGAACAGATACCTCCCTTCTGATCTGGGCCCCATGTTTGAAAATTCAACAAACATCTGATCATCGATCGGTGCGTCAGAAAGGGCCGGAGTTGATGTTTTGACAGGCGCCAATCTCTTGGGTTCATCCTCCGGCCCGGTTAAGTCAACCACATGGTCGATCGGGATCAGTTGATCACCATCATCCCCCTTGCGTTTCTTCCGAATTTGCTCCGCAGAGGCACGATCGGCTATCATTTTCTCTTTGCCTTTACCAGAAGAAGCCGTCATGGTGGCAGAAGAGATAGATCGCCGGACGGGTATGGGGGATATTACACCTGCAAAAAAGAGGAATAAAAGATAAGAAGCTGAATTGTGAGAATGAAGGATGATCGGGTTAAAACCCTACTACGCTTACCAATTTCGGCAGATAACATGCTTGAAGTAGTGACAAAACTCTGGAGACTTCGGGTTCCTCCCATCCGCAAAGACTCAGCTTGGGAGCGTAGAACGGCGTCCACCCTGGGCTGAGAATCCCGAACGGGGTATGCGTTCCACCTATCCGGAAATGGCAGAGAATCACCTACCCGAACGAACAATAAACGCTCCTCCCAGTCAGCCGGCAGAGTAAGATTCTCTGTGAACAGCTGACGATCAGAACGAGCTACCAGCTTCAGGTACCCGGTCATCCAGTAAGGCTGATAACAGTAATAGTGAAGGAACAAGTCGACGCTTGGAGTGATCCTCAACTCATGGCATCGAATAATGAAGCCTGTAAGAATGCGGTAAGTGCTGGGCACGAACTGAGCGGGTAGTACAGAAACTCGGCGTAAGAACTCCACAATGAATGAATGGAAGGGAAGCGAAGCCCAGCAGTCAGAGCGTCGAGGTTCACCAGCACGTGCCCCGGTCGGTGCTTCATCGGGTGCCGAATGATTCCAGCATAGTATTCCCTTGGTGGGGGCAATAACTGGCTAAGTTGCCGTTTGATATCTTCTGGGAGGCGTTGTTTTTGTTTGCGGATACAGGTGAAGTGTAGGGGAATGCGGGGTGGCCGCTCGGGCATCCCCTTGTTATAGACCTGGACGTCATCACCTAATAGGCATCCATCATCTTGTGGTTGTTCGGTGTGTTTGCCTGCCTGAGGATTGGCGGGTTTAGGTATTTGGGAAGAAGAGCCTTCGGCCTTGTTACCAGCGGATGTTTTACTTGTGCGAATCAACGGCATCTCTTCAGATTCTGAGCTAGAGGGGTAATACATAAAAACACTGGAGAAATTCTGGGAATTCTAGAGAGAGAAAGCTTGAAAGTACGCACGAGAATTCTGGGAATTCTAGAGAGAAAGCTTGAAGGAAAAGTGAGAAAACCGCAAGAGAAATTAGGGGAAGCACCTCTCTATAAATAGGGAAAGTGCCGCACAAATCCCTAATCCATGAGCGACACGTGGCATTAAGTGGTTACGATTAATCTGGGGCATTTATGATTCATTTTTGTGCACGTACCCCGAACGGGCTTGCAGAGGATTAGCAAAGATCACAGGGACTTGCTGGTTAGAAAAAACCAAGAAAACGGCTAAGTCCTAAAAATTGATCTGAGGCCCGACCGACTATCAACGTCGTAAAAGGTTATCTGAAATCAAATGTGCTAAGTCCTAAAAATTGATCTGAAGCTCGAACTGCTACCAACATACGAAGAAGCCCAAGTGCGAAGAAAACCAAGAAAATGGCTGTCCTAAGAATTGATCTGAGACCAGAATGTGCTAAGTCCTAAAAAATGATCTGAAGCCCGAACGGCTGAATCCCAGAAAGAAGGGGGTTTTTTCCCTTGATAAATTATCAGAACCCTCCAATGCCCGAACGACATTAGGAGTATTAAGTAATATATATATATATAGTCAGAAAATTGATTGTCCTACAAAACGGGCCGAATCCCGAGTGGTGAGCAAATATTCACTAAACGCAAAAAATACAGTATGAGGTGTTTTGTGCAAAATAAAAGATCTGTATTCATCGGTTCTACTGACCGGGAAGTACAAGCTACTTGAAGAAAAGAGAAATACAACGATTAATTAAAAAGTACATATAGATTATTGGCCAGGGGCCATTTCCTCTCCATCTTCATCCTCGTCTTCATCATCATCAGACGGGGGTTCAGGCTCTTTCCCAGCAGCCCGATCAGCTTCCCGTTGCTGATCTCGCTGAAATTTCTCAAATTGAGCTTGTATAATGTCATCCTGGGGAAGATCAGAACCCTGAACCGGCCTCCCAAGATTGTTTTGAAGTTGAGCGACAAAGGGACACAGCAGGACCTGGCCGATCATGGCATAAAGATCTGTAACGATGGAGTCATTCCATTTCTTGGCCTCAGGATCCTTGTCCAAAAGAGCCACCCCTGCCGAGAGCCGACCAGCACCTTTAGGGAAACCTTTCAAGTACGCTCCCAAGGCGAATAGGATTTGCGTCCTTGCATGATCGTCCTTGATGATGGAGAATTCATCTGAGGATTTAAATGTTTCCCGGACAGTGGACAGATCCACATTCACTTCATAGGGGTCGTCCGGGATGCTGGAAGGCATCTCCTCGAACTTGATCTGTGCGGCCTCGGCAGCAATGACCTTTGCCTGGGAAGCAGCAAGTTGGACCCGAAGGGTACCAAACTCAGCATCCAGCCTTTGTTTTTCCTCCGCAAAAGCCTTCCGTTCGGCTTCCAGAGAGGAGATGGCGGCAGCAGCGGTTTGCTCAGCAGAAGATTGAGCAACAATTAGTTCCCGTTCCTTGGCCAGACGGGCTTCCCGCATTTGCAGGGTGTACAAACCCATCTACAAAGCACCGTTCAAGAGTTAGTACTGATTACAGAAAATAAAATAAAAACAGAGCGCAAAAGATAATATACCTTCAGAGCGATCAAGGCCAGGCATTCTTCAGATTGCTCGACCGGCAACTGGGGAAGGGAGAAATTGTTGAACCAGGAGGATGTCGACCAGATCTGGCTCGCGGTAGAACCAGCCCTTTCTAACACCTCGTGAACAGGATCCGATAAGGAGATCCGCTCGACCTGACCAGTGATATGGTCGGTATGAGTCCCACCTACGTTCGAGGGTTCCCCCTGAACGGAGTCGAAGTGTTGGGAGAACTGATGCAGTTGATCAGAACCAAAGCGGTCATCAATCAGCATAGCGTCAAAATGATCCTGACCGGAGAATTGCTGAATAGGCTCCGGTTGCTGAACGGTCGGTGCCAGTTCGGATTGAGGAGCAGCAGCGGTGGGTGAATCAACTTTTGGATTCCTCCTCATCTTCTTCTTCCTCTTCCCGATCCCACCGGCAAGGAGCACACGGCTGTCATCCATAGTAGCGTCTGGATTGGGAGCTGAAAAATGACAAAGGGAAATGTTAGTGCCGAGCGGCCTTTAGCATGAGAGAAACTAGTAACAAAAAAGGAACGTTTCTCGCATGGGAAGGACCGCCCGGACTATGGCACTTGATTCTCAAAACAAGTAAACCTAAGAGAACGGGCAGTACCTATCCCGGCTTTAACCAGCCGATCGAGAATCAAGTAGGTCATGATATCACAACACTTGTCCTTCTCCACAGCAAGAACGTCCTTATAAATTTCCTCAGTGAGTACTGGGTCGGGAGTCTTGCGGGGGAAAGCGTTCCATTTATGAGGGATCAACCCGTCCGGGATAGACACGAAGAAAAATCTATCTTTCCATCCCTTGATCGAGGTCGGATTGCCTTTGAATAAGATGTGGCCCGTTCGGGAACTAGCAGCTAGGTACCCATGGGTTTGTTGAGGGGCTACTTTGAAAAATTGATGAAATAAGTCCAAGGTCGGCGAGGCACCGACATCTTTGCAACCGCAGATAAAGCCCGCCATTGCCCGATAGGAGTTCGGCATGACTTGGGCAGGTACAATTTCATAAAAATTAAAAAATGAAATAAAAAAGGGGTGTAACGAAAATCTGAGCCCAGCCCTCACTGAATCGAAATGGACCACGGTCATCCCAGGGGCGTGACGTAGGGGATGAAGCCCAGCGTGCAATCGAAAGTCCACTGGGTCCGGGATTAGGGCCGGGATTTCGGCCCTATTATTGGCGGTCAATTTCTGCCGTCTTGCCCTAATTAAACCTAAGTCAAGGGAATGACGGGGAACATCTTTTGGCCGTCCAGCCGCCATTAAGGCCATTTCGTCCTCAGATTTTGTGCCATCAGAACTTTCACCGGAGGAAGATGAAGTGCTAGGAAGGTCCTCCGCCTCAGCCCTGGTATTTGTCGCCGTTTCAGTAGAACCACCGGCGAATGGGACCGTGATGACATCCACAATAGCAGCGTCACGGTCATCTCCATGAGAGGCCATCTCCGAATCGGAAGAATGCTGTTGAGGACTCATCTCGACCAAATCAGGAATGAAGCGAGGAAGCAAGGGAGGGAGAATACCTGAACGATGAAGGCTGCGAGAAATCTCAGAAATCAACAAGGCGCAGAGAATTGCAGAATCGAAACCCGGATTTGAGAAGTTTAAGGCTAATTTATAGCCTTGAAGTCGCCGTATCAAGAAGCAATCAGGGAGCGACACGTCACTAGGAGCATTTAAGCTAAACGCGTGTCTAATGAAAAGACTAAACGACGGTTACCATGATGAATATGGGGAAATGAAGCGGCAGCCGTCAAATCGCAGCATCGGGAACTGATTACTTCTGTACCCCGATCGCCATTCGGAGTATTACGACATTGGTATTCATACTTCCTAATGCACTCACTATCGTTCGAGACATCGGAAGTGGGGGACTTGTGTTGGGATATTGATCCAGAGGCCCAATACCCGGGTCAGGAAGGCCCAAGATACCCGGCCCAAGCAACGGGCCCATCACGCTATGATAAGATGATCAAGGTAGAATTAATGCCGAACGAGATTCGGCCCAAATAAGGGTTGGCCCAGTAAGAAGATATACCGAACGGAGTTCGGACTATATATTATACTTGGGCCGATTTGACAGCATCTTCAGCATAGCCCAACATCCCGTTCGAGCAACGGCCAACCGGCAAGTGGCCAGGTGCAATTAATGCCAGATTGTGATATCAGCAAGTGGAAACATGGGTGACCAAGTCGGTGGAACAACGGCCAATCAGCATAGGGCAGCCCATGCTCTCCATTAGTATAAATAGAAGGTCTTAAGTCATTGTAAGGGTTAGCATTTCAATACTCAGGCTCTAGAATAGCATCATTGCTCTTATTTCTTGTATTAAAGCATTGTTTCCGACCTACCGATCGGGAAATTCCTTGTAATCAGACTGGTTAGTTAATACAAGCGAGCTTTCGAGTATTAGTGAGTTCACATTTTATATTTTGTTTATACACTTTGATTTTGTGCCATTCCCGATATATCCAAAGTTCGTGTTGGGCTTTCGGATCTACGGGATTTACACTCAACACAAACCTATATGACACATATATCCTTCTCAGTTACAATTACCTAACCAGACCAGTTACCTGATCTGACTAGTTACAGTTAGTTGGCCTGATTAGTTAGAATTGCTCAATCGCCTAATCGAACAGTTATAATTATCTATTCCATTTATTTATAGTTAGTGAGCATGATAGTGACCACTGTCGGTCACCACCACTAATGATCTATGAGGGCCTGTGACGGTGTACGATGGAGGATGACTGTGGCATGCGCTGGGGTAGTAGCTATGGGCATCAGATTGGCCGCAAGAGGCAACGTGAGAAGCTAAGGGCACCAACGTGGTGGTAAGGGTAGGATAGGGTTAGGTTAGGGTAGGGTAGGGTAGGGTAGGTGTGTGTAAGCGTATGGGAACGGTAGGGGGTAGGGGATGATGTGGGATGGGTGGGGGTAGAGTCGGGGTAGAGGAAAAGAGTAAGAAAAAATGGCACATATATGACCCCTGCACTTTTCAAACACAAAAATAGGATTGATTTCAATTTTTTTCCATAAATGGGACTTCATTATACAGTCCCTTACGTTTCCCCATGAGTCAGCTAATACAAAAACGCCTCTTCAAGTCTTCAGTGAGATGCCAGCGAAGGGGCTCCCAGCGCCAACAGCCAAACCGCTGCGGTCTTCATCGGTTTGCATCTTCATCGCATCTTGCCCGTTGTCTCTCTGACGTCGCCACCTATGGTCTTCTCAGCATCGCCGACCTCCTGCCATCAAATCTAGAACACCGCTGCATCCCTGTATTCGTCACAGTGAAGTCGCGTCGTCGCCGCCGTTGTCTGCCACCATCTCCCCCAGGTTTGATGTCCTCTTCCTCACCTTTCTGAGGATGAGGACGATGGTGAAGACCATCAGATTTGGCCCAACATTGACGATGTGATACATACAGGTTGATCGAAGAGGCATTGACCTAATTGATGGATGGAAGAGGCGATTTTCAGATCTAAATCCGGAGTGGTGACGATGGCTAGGATGCAGAGGTGTGGTTTGGGGGCTAGTCAGAGTAGGAGTTGGGTGGTTGGCTGGGGGCACGTTAGGGGGGCAGGCGGGTTGGGGATAGGACTAGGTTTCGGGGTGTTGGGTCATGGGGATGGGTAGGTGGTTGGGGGCTAGGGAGGGGGCTGAGGAGGTGACCGAGGTTGGGGAGACAAGGAGGGGTGGGGTGGTGGTCGGCGGCGGCGAGGCCGTTGGTTGACGGTGGCGTTGGACAGTGGTGGCCGCAGAAGATGTGTAAGGGTGAAGAGTGATCGGTGGTGGCCGGAAACTGTGATCGGTGGTGGTGTACAGCTGCGCTTGTGAAAACTGTCGCTGGCTGGAGGTGGCGACAATGATTGACGAGGGGCGGCGACAGTCACTATGAGCGGTGGGGCAGTCATTGTGGCCGGTGGGGCAGTCACTGTGGCGGTGGGCAGTCACTGTGGCCGGAGGGGCAGTCACTGTGGCCGGAGGGGCAGCCACTGTGGCCGGAGGGGCAGCCACTGTGGCCAGAGGGGCAGTCACTGTGACGGTGGGGCAGTCACTGTGGTCGGAGGGACAGTCACTGTGACGGTGGGGCAGTCACTGTGACGGTGGGGCAGTCACTGTGACGGTGGGGCAGTCACTGTGGCCGGAGGGGCAGCCACTGTGGCCGGAGGGGCAGTCACTGTGGCGGTGGGGCAATTACTATAGCCGGAGTCACTTCGACCGGAGTCACTTAACGTTGCAGGGTTAATTAAGATTTTGGTCACATTTTTGGAAAAATCTAAAACAGGTCACATTTTTATCTTTTGCATTCATTTTAGTAATATTGAAATAAAAAGGCCAAAGAGTAACGTGGGTAGGGTTGGGGTAGGATTATGGTCGAGGTAGAGTGGCGGTGCCAAGAATGATGGAGCGGATGGGAGAAATGTGATTTATATTTAGAGTGTGATGATATATTGGGGAAATTGTAGATATTTCATTTTAATTAATAAGTTTTCTTTTTGGGAAAACTGTCAATTGAGCCCTCGTACTATGCGCGATCCGTCAATTGAGTCCCCGTACTTTGGAAATCCTCAATTGAACCCGCCAACAATGAAAATCCCGTCAATTAGGTCTACATAACCGGATGCTTCCCGGTTAGCCCGTTGCTCGCTCACGTGGACATCGCACATTGAGGGTTCCATTGCTGACATGGATTTAAAATTTCCACATCACTTAATTAGGTCTACATCACGAAGGTTCCGTGGATGGGATTTCAAATCCAAAGCTTCCGCTCCGAGCATTCACGGTGTCCAACAAGTACGAGGGTTCCTCGGACCTCGTCAACCTCTGTAAACCGCCTCCGCCGAAGCTGGTGGACATCTACTCTACCGTGGACAACGAACGTCAGAGCAAAAACGTCGCCACAAGAACGGATAGCTTAGACCTCTACGCCACGATGGTCTTCAAGGACGACGTCGTCGTCGTTGATGATCCTAACGACGACGATTCACTCCCTCCGCTACTCAAACGACTCCCCAAGGACTTCGGCGGCGGCGGTCCAATTGAGTCCGATGCCGACTCTGATTCTGACAATGAGCCTGCCTCAATTTCCGGAACAATGATAGTCAAGACTAGCCGCAGCTTGATGTATTCGAACCCCTTATCTCCGTTCCGAAAGCCTAGCTCTGGGCCAGCGTCGTATTGGGAAAGGAGTGGAAAAAACAGCGGCCAGAGAGTTGAGGACGATGGCGAAGAAGAGGAGGATGGGGAAGTTAATATCTCGATGTGGAAATTTTAAATCCATGTCAGCAATGGAACCCTCAATGTGCGATGTCCACGTGAGCGAGCAACGGGCTAACCGGGAAGCATCCGGTTATGTAGACCTAATTGACGGGATTTTCATTGTTGGCGGGTTCAATTGAGGGTTTCCAAAGTACGGGGACTCAATTGACGGATCGCGCATAGTACGAGGGCTCAATTGACAGTTTTCCCTTTCTTTTTTGTCCAAAATGAAATTAAATTCTATATCTATTCGCTGATAATTTGATCATTATAAAATTTGATGGATGATACTACCGGACACACTAATAATTAGGGGCATCATACGTATAATATACTGTATACTGTATATTTAATTGATTTATGTCATTCTTTCATCATTTAATTATATAATTGGTTTATGCTAAAGAAATATGATTAGATAATATTCTACTCCCTCCGTCCCTAATTGAATTACAAACTTTGACCGGCACAAGGATTAAGGAATGATAATAACTGATGCTTGCTTTTTACATTTTTGTCCATCTTTCTAAAAGTAGATGCCTTTAAGTTAATGGAAAAAAGGAAAAATAAGGTAAATTTGTAACTTTATTTTTATTTACATACCTAAAATAGAAAGTGAAAAATCATTTTGGGACAACCAAAATAGGAAATTTGCAAATCAAATTGAGACGGAGGGAGTAAATGGTTCATACCGAGTGTATAATTTTGAAATGTTGAAAAATAATTTTTAATAATATTTGTTCAAAATAGAATAGGACATGAATATATAATGAGCTTTTTACTTGAATATTACTAATTTAGAGCCAATTTTCATGTCCAAGAATAAGGACAAAAATATGACCAAGAAGGTCTTATATTTGGAAAAACATAGTGTCTGTCAGATTTTTATGTCAGTGTCAAAGTTTTATGTCACTGATTATATGTTACTTTTGAATGTTACTTTCAGTTTTTTATGTCACTTTTAAATGTCAATGCTGGTTTTCACGCCCCTTTTATATATCATTTCCGTCGTCAAACATGTCAGTGTGTTGTTAACCATGTCACTATGTCGCAGTGGGCTACTTTTTCCGATGAAAGTGACATCTACCGCCACCATTCATCCGTTGCAATGCTACCTACCACCACCATCGCAGGCCACCCGATGCAATGCCATCTACCGCCAACACCCCACCTGATGCCATCTACCCCTGCCCCTCCCCGTCGCCCCAGCACCCAGACCCTACCCCTGTCCCACCCCTGACCTGCCCCAACAACCCTCCCCAGCTCCTGCTTGGACGCACTCCCACCCTACCCTCTTCCACAGCTGTCACACCCTTCCCCATCTCCTCTGCCAGTCACCTCCAACCACTTCCCTATCCCCATTCCCAAATCAAGCTCAAATATGTCCCCCACTCCTGCTAAACAGATACTCCCTCTGTACGTCCCATTAGAAGGTTCTCGTCCACTATTCTCATGGTCAACTTAAATCATTTTTAATCTTTTACTTTATAAATCAAATTTTTACCAAATTTACAATTTTTTTTATCAGGCTTTGTAGCGGTTTTAATATAGTTTCTGAATATGTTAATTTTATTTACTAAAAATAATCAGAGTGTGAACAGGGATTAAGTTGCTTTATCGTCGGTCAAGCATCGTAAACCGTTCACGGGAACCTTCTAGCGGGACGGAGGGAGTATGTGACAACCACCGCCCGGACCCGGAGTGGCGGCCAATGACCACCTATTCTCCCACCACTGCCCCATCAGCCAATAGAAGACCCCACATTGTCTCCACCAGCCCTACCGTGACCTTGCTAACCCTAGCCCCACAGCCACTCCGGATATAGATCTGAAAATCCCTCTTCGCCCCTTGGACCCCACGGTCAGAAAGAAATTGAAGAAGGAGAAGAAGATTGGCAACGAAAGGAGAAGATCGGTGGTAGGGGAAGCGAGCGAGACGACCGACGATGATGCCAGGCTCAGTCGATGTCGGCAGGCGACGGCCAAAGCATCGGGCGATGGGACCCCACTTTAATGAGTTGCCACATTTATGACCACACATTAGGGGATGGGGTAAAAATGATGTTTTGGGCTACCTTTAGCATTTTGCATCAGTGTTCTAAAAAGCCCCGAAAGAAATAGAGAATATGAGAGGAGAATAGAATATCAGTCTTCTACCTTTAGCATTTTGTGCTCAGACCCATATACTCCATCACCTAGTATTAGAGAACATTTTAGCTTAGGCTTAGTTTTTTATGTCTGATGTTCAGTTCTGGTTGTTCACACCCCCGAGTTGTATTGAGAACATTTTACACTTGGATTTGATTAATGATAATTAATTTTATTTCTGCCAAAAGAAAATAATGCGGTTGAGAACGACTTTTTGAAGAAAAAAAGTATGCGCATTGCATACAGGTAGTGAGAAAGAAGATGAGAGAAAAAAAGGGGAGATTTATCTAAATAGGAGTAAATAAATCTTTAATTGACAAAACATGAGTGAATGTTAAAAATTCCCTGAATAGGAGTTATTATCTGTAGTTGGAAAACATACTGCCATCGACAGAACGCCGGACCACCGTCGACCGCCACCGGACCGTCTCCGGCCGAAGGTCTCCGCTGGCCGCCAACCGTCTCTGAAATACCCGCCGCTGCAGATCTAGCCTCCGCCGCCATAGATCTGGACAGATCCGCCACCGACCGCCACCAATCGCCGCTGCTGCAGGTTCGGCCTCCGCCATTGCAGATCTGGAAGCCATTGTCACTGATATCAACATTATATCACAATGGCATGTTGAGAATGCCAAGTCGAAAATGCCATCTTAATGACATTTGCAAAATAGAATACGGCATTTTTGAAGAGTAAAAAATGACATCTTCATGACATTTTTAAAACAAATTTTGACTTTTTTAAAAAAATAAAAGAAGATGAAGCCGTTGCCATCATTGAATGCTAAGAATCTCAAATTTATAAGATCTGTGGTGCAACAAAAGAGGGAGAAAGAGAGACAGAGAATAGCTAGAGAGGAGGAGTTGAGGAAGAAGAAGGAAGAGATAGATAGGGGAGAATAATGAGCCTCAATTTTACCCTCGGATCTGAACAAAGCTCGTCGCCGGCCGCCGCTGCTCGTCGTGGCTTCTTCGCTGCTCGCCGCTTGCCACCGCTGCTCGACTTGCCTCCTTTGCCGCTCGAAGCCGCTTGCTACTGTTTGCCGCTGCCGTTGTTCATCGCGGGTTGTCATCGTTCATCGCTCATTTGCAGCTCGATTATGTTCATCGCAGCTCTCATACGTTGCAGACTTCAACTTTAGAAGAAAGAGAGAAGGGGAGTGAGTGTTGAACCGTAAAAATTACTCCGTTCCCAAAAATACTTCCCACTTTCCTTTTTGGCTGTTCCCAAAAATACTTTCCACTTTCCCATTTTGGACAATTTGTGTGGCTCACATTCACTTTACCTTTTTCTTACATAACCACAACCATACATTTCCACTTTATTCCACTTTCTTAATAAGCGTGCCAAGTCAAACCGGGAAGAATTTTTAGGAACGGAGGGAGTAATTGTGAAGGATCATGAGGGGTAAAAGAGGTATAATGGTCTTATTTAGGGAATAAAATGATGCATACTCTTATTTTGGAATTTAAGCAACATTTAACTCATATTTAGGACAAAAAACTCAAAAAAAAAAAACTAGATTGGCATCGTTATAGATCAATTATAAAGACATTGAACAAAAAAAAAAGACATTGAACAAAAAAAAGACATTGAACAAATAGCACTATTTGGTGGGCAGGCTAATCTTCTTCGTGATCAAAGCAAAAACGGACGTAAATTACAAAAAAGATGTTTGTACACACTCTTATACACACTTTTGTACACACCTATGTCTGTGAAAGTTTTTTTTTGTCTGTGAACATTGATTCACAGACAATATTTTGCACAAACAAAATATTGTCTGTGAACCGGATTCACAGACAAAAAAAAAGTTTCACAAACATGGGTGTGTACAAGGGTGTGTACATCAAGAATGGTTGCGTAAATTAAGCCCGAAATGTGTCCCACAAAGGTGAGCAACGGAGCAATCCAGAACTCTACCTGCAGGTGCGCATCCAATTTGAAAACCATACACACACATATTAGAATAACTTCACTGTGGCCGTATTAAGGATGTTATTTTGTGACCGTTTTCAATCTGAGACCAGATCAGAGTTAAACAGGTCAGACCAGTCTTCTATAGTTATAAATATACAGAGACCAGACACTTACCAGATCAGATCATATTTAAACAGACCATATCATCAAACTAGACCATCAAATTTCAATTCAAGTAAAGACATCGTAAGACTTTAATCATATACTACCTCATTCCCATTTAATTTTCCCTACAATATTCTCTGATCAACATAAAGTCTTTTTAATCTTTTAATTTATATATCAATTTTTTATCAAATTTGAGTAAATTTGATAAATTTATGACTATAAAACTTTTAATGCAAATTCTAAATATGTAAATTTTATTTATTAAATACTCCCTCCGTCCCATAATTAACTTCGGTTTTGACTGGGCACGGGGATTAAGATAGTGAGATTTGTGTGGTGGAGAGTTGTACAGAGGAGAGAGAAATGTGTAAGAATGATTGTGAACCACATATTCTTTATCAAAAAAGGAAAGAGGAGATAAATTTGGGACGGACCGAAAAGGAAAGAATGAAGATAATTTCGGGATGGAGGGAATACAACTCACTAGGAACAAAGATAAGTCAACTTTTAGTGAAAACCTTTCTAAGAACATAGGCAGTACGATATGAAAAGGAGAAAGTGAGGGTTTACTTACATGGCCCACGCCATAGCCATCAGGCAATCTCGCGTGCGGAAACAACCAACTTCCCGCCATTATTGTTTCTATCTATATGCTTGACCATCTCACAGGATTACAGAAATAACAAATATTCTATATTTATGCATGCAAAACAATGTTCTAAAAGGTGTAAGACGTGTCGAGGCGACATGACCAAGTGTTAAGCCTTTGGAGTCTAGGCGGGATTAGGTGAGGCTTAAACGTGAAAAGGCGTTTTATTTTTTATCCTTTATTTTAGTTTATCTAAAGCTATTTTACATAGTTAAATTTAATATTAAATAACGTTATTCAAAAACATCATACTTTCTCATTTTCAACAAAAAAAGATATGTAGGAGTCCTATATCTAACAAATACGGAGTTTAAAATAACCAATTACACAAAAACTGGAACCAAAACGAGTAATTTAATGATAAAATATTAATATTAGTATAAATAAATGATACCTAGTATATGACCAAAATAAGGACAATAGTTAAAATGTGACTTGGTAACTTTTAGTGATTATAATTTTAATAACACTCAAAAAAAATATTATAGTGAATATGAGAATATATTTATAGTCACTTCAATTTTATTTTTTCGTTCATAAATTTTACTATTATAATAATTTAGAAAAAACTCTTTAAAAAATGATAATGGTGGAGATATTGATAATGATAACAATAAAATACAATACTAATACTCCGTAATAAAGATGATAAGAATTCTAACAACAATAAAAAATAATCTAAAGCAAACTACTTCTTAGGGTATATTGATATAAGGATACACATATTCACATTTCCAAAGAGTTGATTGATGCAAAATCTGATGGGTGACTTTCTGGATCCGGAGTACTCCCTAGTGCTCATTATACTACTCCCTCCGTCCCATATTTATATTCATACTTACTATCCACATGGTCAACTCAAATTACTCTTAATCTTTTATTTTATATATCAAATTTTTATCAAACTTAAATTTTTTTGATCAGACTTTGTAGCGGATTTAATGTAGTTTCTGAATATATAAATTTAATTTACTAAAAATAATCTGAGTGTGAACAGGGATCAAGTTACTTTATCGTCAGTCAAGCATCGTAAACCGAACTACGAAGATAAATGTGGGACGGAGGGAGTACTAGTTAGTCCCACACCGGAAGAAAAGAAGACATACTACTACCAATGTTTCTATATAACACGGAGTACTCATTGAGCTGCTAAACGTAGGCAACGCCTTGAGAATCAAGGTCACTCGCTCCTATGCAATTGTCAACCACGGCATGTGAGCATATGTTTAATCATACGGAGTATTTATTTAATAATACTCCCTTCGTCTCATAATTTACTTCCAACTTTCCTTTTTTATTTGTCCCAAAAAGAACTCATCTCCCTTTTTAGCAAAGAATTTATGATTCACAGCAATTCTTACACAACTCTCCATCACACAATTCCTACTTTCTTAATTCGTGTGCCATTTATACTATGCAAGTAAATTTTGGGACGGAGGGGGGTAACAATTATTGGTTGGCGTGCCGCCTTTTCTCACGCATAATAGGTATCTGGGGCTTCCTGGCAATGCCTTGCGCCTATGCCCGCATAGGCGGCGCCTTTCGAGGCTTTTTAGAACACTGATGCAAAATGCTAAAGGTAGCCCAAAACATCATTTTTACCCCATCCCCTAATGTGTGGTCATAAATGTGGCAACTCATTAAAGTGGGTCCCATCGCCCGATGCTTTGGCCGTCGCCTGCCGACATCGACTGAGCCTGGCATCATCGTCGGTCGTCTCGCTCGCTTCCCCTACCACCGATCTTCTCCTTTCGTTGCCAATCTTCTTCTCCTTCTTCAATTTCTTTCTGACCGTGGGGTCCAAGGGGCGAAGAGGGATTTTCAAGAGAAGAAGTTAAGAAAATAACTCACAACTTTAATAATCAACAAGCTCCAAGAGCAAAACCAAGAATGGAAGTTTAGCTCCTCATTTGGAGGCTAAACATAGCTAGAAAAATATAAAGAAATGCTATTCTAAACTGAGCTAAAGAGAATGGAAGAAGGGATGATGAAAAGTGAAGGAAAATGGGGTTATTTATAGGTGTTTTCAACACCTAATGCCGGATACCCGACCGGGTATATGGAATACCCGTCCGGGTATTTGCTAGTTTTGCAGCAGTTTCCTTTGTCACTTCATACTCGGCCGGGTGAAGTCCATACCCGACCGGGTTTTGCACAAAACTCAGGTTTCTTCATCCTTTTTGCTTCCAAACATATCCTAAACTTATAGCCAAACTAACTACAACTTACAACAAACAATAAAATGCTAGAAATACGATTACAATCAAATGCAAACTAACAACTATAAACTAGTAAATAAACATTACAAACAATAATAAAAATGTATACTTAGGCACTAACAACTAGTGCCTATCATAGAGCCTGAGTATTGAAATGCTAACCCTTACAATGATTTTAAACCTTCTATTTATACTAATGGAGAGCATGGGCTGCCCTGTGCTGATTGGCTGATGTTCCATCGACTTGATCACCCATGTTTCCACTTGCTGATGTCACCATCCGACATTAATTTCACCTGGTCACTTGTCGGTTGTCCGTTGCTCGAACGGGATGTTGGACTATGCGGAAGACGCTGCCAAATTAACCCAAGTATGATATATAGCCCGAACTCCGTTCGGTATGTCTTCTTACTGGGCCAACCTTTATTTGGGCCGAATCTCGTTCGGCATGAATTCTTCACTGGATCTACTCATCATAGAGTGATGGGCCCATTGCTTGAGCCGGGTATCTTGGGCCTTCTTGATCCGGGTATTGGGCCTCTAGGTCCATATCCCAACAACAACAACAACAACAACAACAACAACAATAATAATAATAATAATAATAATAACAATAACAATAACAATAACAATAACAATAACAATAACAATAACAATAACAATAACAATAACAATAACAATAACAATAACAATAACAATAACAATAACAATAACAATAACAATAACAATAACAATAACAATAACAATAACAATAACAATAACAATAACAATAACAATAACAATAACAATAACAATAACAATAACAATAACAATAACAATAACAATAACAATAACAATAACAATAACAATAACAATAACAATAACAATAACAATAACAATAACAATAACAATAACAATAACAATAACAATAACAATAACAATAATAATAATAATAATAATAATAAAATCCCTTATGCTTACTTGCTTGAATCTTCTAATGTGTGGCATGGTAGACTAGGACATGTTAATTTTAATTCTATACTTCGATTAATTAACATGGAGCACATTCCTAAATTCACGATTGATGTGAAGCACAAATGTGAAGTTTGTGTAGAGGCAAAACTAACGAAAATGTCTTTCAATCCGGTTGAAAGAAAAACGGAACCACTTGAATTAATTCATAGTGACGTTTGTGATTTTAAATCAATACAAACACGTGGTGGTAATAAATATTTTATTACTTTTATCGATGATAGCACTCGTTATAGCTATGTTTATTTGTTAAAAATTAAACACGAAGCAATCGATAAATTCATTCTTTATAAGAATGAAGTGGAAAACCAACTTAATCGACGGATTAAAACGGTTAGAAGTGATCGAGGTGGTGAGTATGAAGCACCAATTAGTGACTTTTGCGCGAGCGTGGGTATAGTACATGAACGTACCGCACCCTATTCACCTCAATCAAACGGTGTTTCCAAACGAAAGAATCACACATTGAAAGATATGATGAATGTGATACTAGTAAGTTCGGGCCTGCCACAAAATATGTTGGGCGAAGCAGTCTTGTCAAAAAATTACCTTTTAAATAAGGTTCCCCGTAAAAAATATGATAAAACTCCCTACGAGTTGTGGAAAGGTAGAAGGTCTTCCTATCAATATTTAAAAGTGTGGGGGTGTCTTGCAAAGGTGCTTGTACCAACACTTATGAAAATAAAAATAGATCCAAAAACGGTGGATTGTATTTTTATTGGGTATGCACAAAAGAGTAGTGCTTATCGGTTTTTAGTGTACGATTCGAATAATCCGGATGTACATAAAAACACAATAATTGAATCAAGGAATGCATCATTCTTTGAAGATGTATTTCCATGCAAGTCCAACGAAGGACCAAGCACGTCAAAACGAACATTTGACGTAGCTATGGAAAATACTAGCGAGGGGTTCGGAGAAGATCCGAACCCAGACGTAGCAAACGTGCTACAGTTGAAAAATCCTTCGGACCGGATTTTCTCACCTACCTGGTAGAATTTGGCTCGGATATTCTATCATGTATGGTAGAAAATGAACCGGATTTTCTAATATGTTTGGTAGAAAATGAACCACGGACTTATACGGAAGCCGTGACGTCTACCGAAGGTCCTATGTGGAAAGAAGCAATCAAAAGCGAGGTGGATTCTAGCCTAACGGGACTCATATTTAAGAACGGAGGGAGTATTAGATAACAAAGTATAACAAAAATATAATTGTTGGAAAAATGTGTTAAAAATTGCATTAAATGGTCATTTTGGGGCAATTATTTAGTGGGGTCCACTTCCGATTCGGGTCGGGTCCAAGTGGTTTCGGATTGTCCTTGTTAAGGGTTACAATTCGATATATTTGAGTGGGGTCCACTTCCCGTTCGCTGGAACTTTCGTTTGTGTGCTCAAACGTTAGTTCGTTAGGCACCGTATCCTGGGAAACGGTCGTTACAACGCTCCTAGCATCGTGGGAGGTGACGAATACGTTTTAAGGAAATCATGCGTAGCACGAGCTCTGGCTAAACTCTGTCCCATCTCTTTTTCTGTTTTTCTTTGGCTGTTTAATTAATTAATTTTTTTATTAATTAATATTTTTTCGTTTTTCCGAGACACACCCAACAATAACTACAAATAAACGGGGCAGGTATGGGGTGGATAACGGAGCGGGCATGTATAAAACCGTAACCGCCACATTACCCGTAAAAACAAAACGGGTATTCCCCGCACCATACCCGTTACCCGGTCAATGCGATTTTCCCCGCTTTGACCAGGGCGGTTCGATGCGGGTATCCATCGGTTCGGTCACAATTGCCATCTCTATGAACATCCCCCATTGCCAAAAAAAGAATATTCCCAAATGTTTGCTAGCTAATTTAAACATAAAGAATGTAAAAGCCCTTGTTAAAAAGAAATAGTGAAGGTATATCAGCAAGCAAACCAAAGAAACAAAAGCAATATTGCAATATAAAGCAATCAGATGTTCTCTTTGTCAGTGATGAAGCATTGTTGAGAATAAGAAGGGAAAACTGGTGGATTTCCTGTATTGTTATTAATGCAGAGACTGGTTCTTGTTTTTTCAGCAAGTGGGGTTCTGCTTCTAGATATACAGCAAGAAGGCCGACATTCCTTTCCTCCCCCTTCATCGGCCCTTATCGTCTTCGAATTGTCCCACAAATCAATCATCTCAAACCTCCTGCTTAAGTCATTCACTCCCTCCTCTGTACTTGCTTGATCTCCTCCTCTCTGACCTCTTCTCCCACTCTCATGGCTCAACTTCCCTTTGAGTCTCCGCTCATCTCTCTTGATCAGACTTGTGGGTTCCATCCATGTCCCACTTCTCCTCTCGCGCTCCCCAAACCCAACTTTTCTCCACTTGCAAATCTTTTCCCTATCAATCTCTAATGATCTTTCAGAGGGTAACAGAGAAGAACTGTTTTGCCTACTGAAAGATGGAGCACTTCTGGGCTGAGTTGATGAAGAAGAAGAAGAAACTTTGGGCTTCTGATGTTTCCCACTATTCCCGCCTGGAGTTCGATCTGTGGAAGATTTGCTTCCCTTCCCTATCTGAAACTTCAAAAGTCCTTTTGCTTTTGGTAACACCACCTGCAATATAGTGCATGGATGGATGACAACATAATGAATAACAACACCATAAAAATTCCTCATTACAAATGAGAATTTAGAAGTATATATGATTAATGATAGAAATAGACCTCTTCGAAGAAACCAATCTTAGGAGATGGAAGACGAAGACCGGAAGGTTTCGAGTTCATCGTCTTATCAGTAGCTTCCTGAGAATAACTGGTATTGTCATATCTTCTTGGTGTGACATCTAGATCAGTGTCAGTAACTTGGTGAAGAGAATCTGCACCTTCCAAAATAATCTGACGTTTAAGGTTGGAGGTTGACGATGTTGATGGTATACTTTTTACTGATCCTGGCCTGTCTTTGAAAAGGATGGAAGAGGCTTTTGTGGAGGAAGAACGTTTGAATAACATGTCAACACGAGAGGTTGACTCTTTCTTTGCGAAGGAAGAAACAGAAACAGATGAAGAAACAGCCGGAGTTGATGAGGAGGAGGAGGAGGAGGAGGAGAAACGAGATGAAATACTGCATAAACTCCCAAAAGCAAATTTCTTTGCAGTTGTTGGTACTTTAGGCTGCTTGGTTTTAAATTTCTCTTCTGATGGTCTTTGATTATTTCCTGCATGGTCTCTTTTTGAAACAGCTCGGGTCTTGTTCAAAAAACAAGAAAGCAAGAAGATTCATTCTCATGCATGGAAATAGAGAACTGCAATAAAAGACACTAGAAAAAGTATGACATACCATTTTCCCAGTGGTTTTAACAGATGTATTATCAGTTCTTGTATGTGCATCTTGTTGGGATGCTGGCTGGAAATTGGCACCTTTGTTTATGAGTGATAGTTCATCAGGATCTAAAACTCCTGCAAATTTTCCCATACATTTTGAAAAGGGTTCCTTAACAATCACATTGATGACCGATCAAACGAAAAACAAAATCAATAAAAAAAAAGTAAAAAAACAGATTGTTGTTAGTACCAGAACTGGTAAAGAAGGCGTTATCCCAAGCCAAACTCCTACGCAAGTAACTGGGTCTTCCAGATTGAGGCGGAAAGTTGCATTGTGTAGCACCATGATTGGAAGAAGAGTTTCCAAATTTGAAGCATTCATTGTCTCCAAGTTTATCCCACGTCACTGCAAAATGAGGAAGAGGGCAAAATGGGTATTAGCCCAACAGCAGTATCCATCATCAAAATCAGGAACTATAAGAACATAACACCAGCAATTCTTGAAACCTCTTCATTTACTGGACTTCCAAATGGCAGAATTAAAGACTACAATACAATATAAAGAAACCTCCAAACTTTCAAGAGAATATAATTATGAATTGTTTTGAAACCCAAGCCGTTTTGACAAAATGGGTTTCATATTTCATCTATCACCTATATATCTAGAAGAAAAGGCACAAAAAAGTACGTGTTTTCTTGGTGGTGTCTAATTCCAGTGTTCTTGATAAAATTTAACCAGCTTTTTATTTTCCGTGTAACTGTCATATACATTGTTGCTATGTGCTAAAGCTGCAGTCTTTCTTCAAAAAATGGAGAAACTGGGTATGAAGCAGTATAGAATAATCAACCAGTAATATATACACAGCACATAAAGGAGGAGGAACAGAGGAGATGGTAACCAGAAAGTCTAAGATCTTCAAGAGATTCAAATAAAGGAGAAGCGATGAGAAAATCATCCTCTGAAGATATATCAATCAGCTTCAGCCTTTCATCTCCAAAGTCGTTGTAACTCAAACTCGTCTTCTCCTTCCTTTCTTCCCTTTCATCCATTCTTTTACTCACAATCCCATTTGTGAATAAATGATTTAGCAAGAGGGGAAGAAAATGTTTGAATGTTATGTATGTACTCTAACTCCATAACCGATGATTACACACTAAATCGGAGTGTAATTATTTACTCCGTATTATTTAAGGAAATTATAGATTTGGAATAGCCGCTGATTCTGGAATGGGAATGAAAATTAATGCAGCCAGAATACATGGTTGATCCCGTTTGCATTTAAAATCTCATTTGCTCATTTTCTTAGGGAGTTATTATTAACGGAACAAATAAACATTGCATATTTGCATTGACAAATAGTCAAATGAATGAATAGACATTTGTTCACGTTTTTAAAGATACTAAACCAAATGGGAAAATTTGCTGTCCACCATTTTTGTACATGTTTCTTACATTTTTGTTGACAATTCAGTAAAAAAAATCTGTGTCATCCAAATTTTGGGACAACTTGTCCAATCAAATAGACAAAAGGTAAAGAATGTGTACACAAAAAGTGTACCCGAAAAATTTTCCATTCACATTTATAAAATTTTGAATCAAAACTAGATATTTCCCTTTTTCATGCTTACCAATGCACAACTTTGATATTCATTATATTTAATTCTCTATAAGTAAAAAACTTTTAAAAATCAGATTATGAAACTTTGTAGTGAGATGAATTCAAAATATTTAAAAAAAAATCACATACATTAATAAATAATATGTAGTCAAAGTAGAGTACATGAATAGTGTGTAAATTCCAATGTTGCAATTATTATGATACGGAGGATAGTATAGAACAATATGTCGTTCATCCGAGAACAATAGATAATGTGGTAAATGTATAAATGATGTTATGATTATCGGTATTGATATTTTACTATTGATCCTACACTCTTATTTCAAAGTACATTTAATTATTTCAGAGTAGTGCCACTTTCACACTCCGGATAATTTTTTTTATGGTGGTTAAAATAATTATACTTAATTAACTTGTATTTCACATGAATTAGTGATAACAAATTGTAGTCAATTATTTTATCAAGTTGATAAGGTAATTATGTTGCAATGAAACTCTGATATGTTTTTAGATGACTAACTTAAGTATGTGTTTGGTTTTTGTTTATTTAGGATGTTTTTACTTGGATTGTAATTCCTCTCAGACCAGACCAGACTTGGATAGTTATAAAAATACAATGAAACCAGACAAAACCAGACCAGACAGACCAGTCCAGACCAGCAAATTACAGTCCAAGTAAAAACATCCTTAGTAAAACCAAGGTTGTTAAAATCTCGATTTAAATTGTAAAATTGTACGCTTTTACGATTCTACATTAATAAATTGATTCAAATCGCAGGTAAAATCGTAAAATCATAAAATCGTACAAAATCGTACAAAAATCGTGTAGAATCGTTTAAAATCGTAACAAAATCGTAACGGTTTCGGTTTAACCAACAAAATTAATTCCTCTTAAGTTTATTAACCACGACCGTGCATTAATAAACCGAAGTTACTTACTTGTGAAACCATCAACGATTAACCATCGGTTCGTTGATCGTTTCTAGTAATATTTGTTTGTGAAAATGGTTCAAATTTATAAAAATTAACTACTACAAATTGATACATAATTACAATAATAATAATAAAATCAATAGTATATATAAAAAAGTAATCGATTCTTGTGTTATTTAATTATTTTTATGTTTTACATATGTTTAATGTTATTATTCACTACATTTACATTATTTGGACCTTGTAGGTATAGTTTTATGTAATGAAATGATATATTATCATTAGCTTGCAGGTTAATATTAATATTTATTCATTTTATAATTATTAAGATATGTTTGATAAAATCTTACGATTTGTGATTCGATTTTACGATTCGATTTTCAAAAACAACTATCAATTCTATTCAAAAATATGATTTTAACAACCTTGAGTAAAGCCAATTGAATCAGGTATGAACATGCTATTCGTAATCGTGATGTATGAATTTATTAATCATATTTAACTTTTTGAAGAATGTTCTTGGACAATTGTGTCAAATAGTTTAAGTTGAATATAAAGTGTTACCATGGACTGAAACATTTCAAAATAACGGTGGTACTCATCTGCTTCATGTAATTGCATGTATCAAAATGCATCAAAATTTTTGTTAGAATGACCACTTCTGATATCATCTCATGGATCTCAAAAGGTAACAAAGGGCGGAATGGGCGAGAATAGGATCGTCCATTGATTTTGAGAGGCCAGGTTTCAAACATCAAGTTGATGCCTTATGTTGTAAGAGTAGAAACATTTAATATTTCCCCCTGGATTGTATTTGCCGATTGGTTGTGACGTTTGGAATGTGAAAGATTGAATCCCCTTATGATTTAAAACCAAGCCTAATATAATAAAACATAAATCTGCATGTATACTTTTGAGTATTTGGAGGACCTAGTTTATTACAAAAATTTTGACAGCAAAAAATTAGCCCTGCAGGTTTAGTCCCACACACTTGTGATATACGATATTTTTTTTAACTTAAGCGGCGGTTATAGCAACATCATCACCTGGCCGGCTGGCCTATATTTTAGGGATGAAAATTGCCTGATTCATCATCCCCTCCTCCGCACTATTTCTCTCCCATTGCCGTCGTTATATATCTGGTTTGTAATTGGAACTTTTCTCTTTTGAAAAGCATAAAAATGTTTTTCCTATATAGGAGGAAATGTATAACAATTGAAAAATTGAATGCACGCAAAATTAGTACACAACCACCTAGTTGTCTATGTAGACACGCAATTTTTTGTTTAAAAACGGACAAAATTTTAAGCCAAAATGCATGTGTACACAGACAGTGTAAGCACACTTTGAGCACACTTTGTGTACACCATGAATTACTCATTACATTTACTCTTCAGCTAGAAACTTTTTCTAATTGGTGAAGGCACCCAATGCTTTGTGATGGGTGGTCCCAATGAACATTCTCCTTTGATGATAAGTGGAACTAAGTCGACTAACTATTTGATTAAAAGAAAAATCTTTTTTAACATTAGAATCAAAACCAGACCAGATGAAGTTTCAGGAATAACAAAGGCATCTCCTTGAACTGCGTGTTTTTCGTATGTGTCATCAAGACCTGCTTGCAGGTTCCTTGAACTGCTTGTTTTTCGTAGCAACTCCTGCTCATAGAGTTCAGAGGGAAAACATCAAACACGTACGCACATTGGCACAGATGCCAATGCTAATGTCTGTTGGCTGATTCTTTCAAAGGAGTCCAAGAAAATAACTAACCTTTTCCTTTTCGATCCCTACAACCTGCACTTCCACAGCAGCATTTGAATGCTTTGATGGGATGATCTAAATCATTGAAATCGATCCCATAATCCTGACATTGTAACACATGGGTTTAAGAAGTCGGTGTAACCCTTATTGAACAGAGTAAATCTCAGGAAAAACCGAAAAACACAACCAAGGAGCTAACTAAAATAACATAATCATCCTGAATATTTAATCTGGAATCTATCATTTAGTTCGTTCTATTTAAGAACATTGCGACAAATGAGTATTCAAAAGAACACATTAGTAGGTGTGATTTTGTAAGATGTCATGAAATGAAAAAGGATGGTTAATGTAAATTTACACCAAAAGTTTATAATTTTCATTAAATAATATTACACATTATTACAACTTAACATTAAAGTAACTCACCCATGTTAGCTCTTCTAATGCATTCACATTTCGTTTTGTGAAAAATGCAAGCTGCAAGGGATAGAAAAGGGTTTAAGATATTCTCCCTTAGTATATAAAAGACGTGTAACATGACCACATGAAATGAAAAGAAATGAGATCAAACGAGCCATTTACATGATAGTAGTGATGGTCAGGAGTCTCAATCTGAACTGGTATCTCAATCAAATTCGAATCGAAGCACCTGAATGAAACTCAGCATAACCAAAATGCATACACATCAAGATTTTGTTATAAACAGAATGTTCTAAGAAATGAATAAAGGGCAATTGAAATGTTATGTGTGATCACCAATCATCATCACTACTAAGAAACTAAAATATAGACTTTAAAGCTCTCCAAAATTGTTAATTCAAACTGACCGCAAAACAACAAAATATCATATATTCTCAAGGCATCTGCATAAATAGTAGTGACAATTGTGTAAAAAGCACCTGTGGTTTATGAATCGGCCAACATTTCCATAGTATGTAGCGTCCAAACAAAGTGCATCTTCATCCTTGAGAACTCCTTCTGAACCCCAATCAGCATCTAATAAGACGGGATAAGTGTGCCTTTGATTCCTACCTCTTTCTTGATTACGCTCATACAACTCAATGTTGGTTAATATCTCCCCAATATACTCACACACGAATGCTCCTTTTGGCAACTCCTCGAGTGTTCGAACACCCCAGCCCTTACCATCACTTGTAGAGAACACCTGAGTAAATATAACCCCTACTGATCAGAGGTGTGTATTCAATTTCTAGTATAATAAATTACTAGCAACATAGTACTTTTCCAACTTACATGGCCATAACTAGATATAACTAGATATAGTGGTGCTAAAGGAAAAGAAAGAAAAAACATTAACTTCAAAGTTTAACATTCTAGAATGATAACCATAGTGATTCAACTTGTTGAAATATATTGTGTTAGTGAGGAGGCTGTAGATAGGAGTATCCACCAAGTAAGTCTAAAAGTCTTCACAAGCCAAGGTTTTTTGTTTGGATGGATGGTTTTGCAGGGGTTTTGAGGGTTAGTCTATATTTTGGTAAATTTCGAGATTTTTAAATTGAGACGTTAACATACTAATATGTGATCATGTGAAAAACTTTTATATATTTCTAAAACCATTTGATTTATATTAGACATAGACTAAGCCCTCTAAAACTCCCCCCCAACAGTGTGTGTGGAAACAGGTTGTTTGCATCATGAAGATTTGCAGGGAAATTTCCCGAAATAGGAGTAAAAATAATGTAAAATTCTAAAATAAGAATACCATATCTTTATTCTCTCAATAGGAGTAACTTAATGCTATATTGTAGTTTTAGTATCATATTTTGGCATTGTCACGCTTTAATATGGCAGCATTACTACCATAATTGGCACTAATTCCCAAACATGTCAGTAATTACTCCTATTTGGAGAATAAAAACACGGCGCTCCTATTTTGGAATTCTACATAGTTTTTATTCCTATTTAGGGCAATTTCTTAAATTTGCACTGAAGAAATTTCAATTTAAATGTGAAAAGATTCTTGTTTCATCTTTGGAAAGAAATTCCAGAGAAGACTTATAACTCAAACTATCACAAAACATGTCACCTGCAATCTTCGTGTTATTCCTCTCTGTACAACACGGTTTCCGCAACTCATATCGCAGCAACATTTTCTCCAGCATTCTTTGATAAACTTCCTTACAAGGTGGCCCTTGCACTTTTCTGGCCTACGAGTATTCTTAGCTCTCTCTAATGGGCAATCTTCACAGTAAAAACTGTAATGCTTCTGAGGTTCTTGATACATTGATATACAATCTCGAAGAAACTCTTCTCTGAGAATCCCTTCTGATGTGTAGGCGAATTCTCCTCCAGTTTCACGTGCACAAGCACAGGGTACCGAGTGTGAGAGGCAGTCTCCTTCACACTTTCCACAACAATCATCGTCGGCTATACGAGCCAGTGAAAATTGTACATATGCACTTTGATAGACTGTATTTTCTCTAATATAAAAAAAATTAGGTCGTCCTCCTATCCCAATTCTATCCAGCAAAGAAATACGCATTGCCTCATTACCATTTGTTATATCATAGATCTTGAAATCTTTTTTCTTACAACGACTCATGGGGTGAGGTCGTGCAACTAAACTGAGTGAAGATGAAGAAGTAGAGCTTGAAGCTTTTGTCGTTGATTGTCGTTTAGATTGGTCCACTCTTACAGTTTCTCTATCGGAAAGACAACTGTTAGTGGATTTTTCCTCAAGAAATCTCACAATAGGATTATTAGCCAGTTCCAAATAACCTTCACATACATCTTTTAGTATCTTCCTTATAGAAAACTGAAAGTCATCACTTCTACATGAAGTGTAATTGTCCTCCACCAATTTTAGAACGTCATTGATACATGGACAGAAGTGGTTGGGTTGTGCAGAGAAACCATCACATCTTAGATAAAGTTTAACCCTTCCACAGGAAGACGAAACTATATCAGAAATACTATGCAAGTTGGTCCGGAAATCAAATGATGGTGAACCTACTTGGTTGATGGTTGTAGGGCATTCGGTTGCATGATGTCTTGCAGGTTTGGGCTGTCTGGTAGAACTGTTATCCAATGTGTTTGAAACAACTGAATGAAACAACAGGGGAGAAACGAGATACACATGTTACATTCATTCTGATAAGGCATAAACAATAAATATTCTTCTACTAGACACTCATTTAATGATCAATAAACATGTATCCACCTGAAGATATATTTGGAGCAAGACAAGTATTTGGCAAGATTTGATTAGATTCATCCACGAAAACAAGATCTGTTCCTCTATCCACCAATGAATTCTTTGGATTTGATTCAAACATTTCAAAATCTGAATGGATACTTCCATTGTTCATCATTGAAAAATTCTGATCCTCGGCCAGTTTCAGTTTCTTACAAGGTCCCACCACATCCGTTGTTCTAGAATGATTTTCATTGTCTGGAGGCTAGCAATTCAAAATGTGGAGCATCATCAGATCATATCACTTTAATCCTAGAGTAAAGAGCACACACACACACACTCACTCTCATGGAAAGAGGAGTTGACAAGGGATTTATAAAGAAACTAACAGGTGAACCTTATCCTCCGTATCTTCAAATATTGCATCTGCAAGCGTGCGATAATTATCCTCTTGTATGAGTTCCCATTTTTGGCCATACAATTTTAGTAGCTTCCTGAGTACTGGTTTAACAACTGATGAATGAATGCCCAAGCTCTTCATAGCATTGAAGGCATCTACAACCCTTGGATCAGGCGCCATATATATAATGTATACGAAATGTTTCTGTAAAACTGATTAATCTCCATCATTGCATTGAACATAAAAACAAAAACACTTCCTTAAACAGAAAATCAGTAATACAATAGAAACAATAAGTCAATAAGTAGTCAACAAAAAATCTGTCTAATATTACAACGTTGTCATTCTCTTATATACTAGAGCACTAATAAGCTGCTCCAATATTATCACTAAAATACAGATATTACTTTCCAAGCAAAAATGGATGAAATGATTATTGTCGAACGATCATTGTAGACAAAAATGGAATGTTTGGGTTTTATTTGTGTAAAACTATTAATGACAGAAGCGTAGCTATTAGAGGAATGCAATTTAACTCAACAATAAAATCGTGAAATGTTGTACCGTTGAACTAAATACGGTGTATTCATATCACAAGTTCATCACGGAAAGCAAGTCACATTTTCTAGGTTTTCTTAATAATAAGAAATTAGGATTTCATACGTTATTAAAGAGTCCTTATCAGCGGGAGCTTGAGATCGGAAAGTGCAATGCCGCCGTCGCCGGTAGCAGCGAGGGAGTCGGCTATATATACTTCGACGAGTATACTTAAGAAAAAACGCAAAAAAATGGTTTCTTCTGAGGGTGAAGCGAATCGGCGCGGCGAAGTTGGCAGGTATAGTGCAACAGAATCAAAAACGACGAGGGAAGTACATTTCAGTTAATAAAAGTGTGCAAACTCTCATACGTGTCAGGCCATGATTTAATTGGACTCTGGGTGGTGGGCCTCACCGCAATTAAGTTGACTGGGTCGGAGATCCGAAGCCAAATCCGAAGAGTTTTTTCCGAAAGTAGGGTACCCAAAGTAGGGTACTTTTAAACTTATTTTTTAAACTAGGGTATTTTTTGCCACGGCATCCAACCTGCCACGTCATGGATGTCACATAATTGCTAGTCATTCCATGCCATTAATTTGTGTGTGTATTTACTTAATAAAAAAATATATCACTAGTGAGAGTTGAACTCATGACTTCTCATGTACTCCCTCCGTCCCGAAATTATCTTCATTATTTCTTTTTCGGTCCGTCCCAAATTTATCTCATTTTTCCTTTTTTGATAAAGAATATGTTGTTCACAATCATTCTTACACATTTATCTCTCCTCTGCACAACTCTCCACCACACAAATCCCACTATCTTAATCCCTGTGTCCAGTCAAAACCAAAGTTAATTATGGGACGGAGGGAGTACTTCATAGTAGTGGAAGAATCAATGGGCTACAATGCTCATTTGCTATAAGCTCTCGTTTAAATATCTTTAACATATAGGACAATATAGATTTTAAGTTCTGAGATTTACTTATTTAACTCGTGCATTACTCGTTCCTTTAGGATATATTACTTCTTTGTCAAATAATTAAAGAATTTGTGAAAATTTTAATTTGAGATATTCAATTAAAAAATAAAAATTAAAAATTATGATGAAAAAGAAATATGACATATGTAATTATAAAAGCAATTGTATTTTATATATTCGAGTTCAAATAAGATACTCGAAATAGAGCTAAGAAAATAATGAGAAATTGAAAAATAATTAATTAAATAAATAAAGAAAATAAATGAATGAATGGATACATAAATAAATGAAAAAATAATAAATTAATAAATGTATTAATGAATTAACAAATAAATTTATATATTTATTTATCTATTTATTTATTGTAAATAAATGAAAAAAAAATGAATAAATAAATAAAATAATATATGAATTAAATAAATAAATTTATTTATTTATTAATTCATCAATAATTTTATTTATTTATTTATATATTTATTTATTTATTTATTTATATTTTTCAATTTTCATTATTTGTTTAGCTCGATATGGAGCATCTTATTTGAACTCGAACATATAAAATACATTTTTTTTATAATTACATATATCCAATCACGTTTGTATCATAATTTTTAATTGGATTTTTTTTTTGTAATTGAATATCTCAAATTAAAATTTTCACAATTTCTTTAATTATTTGAAATAGAAGTAAAATATTCTAAAGGAACAAGTAATGCACGAGTTAAAAAAGTAAATCTTAGAACTTAAAATCTATATTATCCTATTTGTTAAAGATATTTAAATGTGAGCTTATACCAAATGAGCATTGTAGCCTAGTGGTTCTTGCACTATGATGAAGTGCATGAGGTCATGGGTTCTACTCCCATTGGTGATATTTTTTTATTAATTAAAACAAACGCAAATTGATGACATGCAATGACTAGCAATTATGTGGCATCTGTGACGTGGCAGATTGGATGATGTGGCAAAAAAATACCCTAATTTGGGAAATAAGTTTAAAAGTACCCAATTTTGGGAAATAAGATTTGGAACTACCCTAGTTTGGGAAAAAACTCCAAATCCGAATGGTTTGAAAATAGAAACAAGGAAATGACTCACTTCTAAAAGTCTATTTGATAATCCCTATTTTTGTTTTAATAGTTCTGACAAAGTATATATCTAGACAGAAGTGAGAGCTAGAGAGAGAAGTGCAAGTAAATGTTTCAATAGAATGATTTTGTCACCCCCACAACTACCTCCAGAGGAAGTATTTATAGGAAAAATACGGGCTGGGTTCCAAGCCTTAGGCTTGGGAGGCCCATTTACAACTGGACCGCTATTGGGCCGAATACAAAGTAAATGATGAAATATATAAATGAGTAAGTGTAAAATCCGGTTCTGCGAGGCTTTCGTGGCCGGCGAGGGTTTGGCCGACGGGGGCACCCTAGTTCCCTGGCTTCAGGATCATATTCCGAGTTGGTCCCTCTTCGACCGACCGGGGTCCTTTGGCCGACGAGGGCATCCTAGTTGGTTTGTACTTTCTGTTCTTCTGAGTATGTGGGTCCTGGGGCCTAGACCCATATACTCCATCAGGAGTCCCTCACTCTCTAAGCTGAGATGCAGACGAAGTGAAGGAGAGTAGATTTCTGTGCTTGATGCTCTTGGCCGATGCGGGACCACGTTGGTCGTTCTCTGTCGTAGCGTTTGATGGCCCTGTTCTGAGTTTGGCCGTTACCTACCCCTTGATGCGGACGGGGAAGGCTGTTATTCCTTTGGTGCGCTTTGTTTGTGGATGATGAGTGTTCTGGCATGAGTGGCCGATGAAGGTAGTATCTATTCTTAGTCGTTGATGGTTGATCTTTCCTTTTGGGCTGATGAGACCGTTGGGGTTGCGTCTTGTTCTAGGTGGCCAGTGAGGGTGTTATGCACTCCTTTTGGCCGTTGTTGATGACACCATGTGCCTTTGGGCGACAAGGCGCCATATCTCCCAAGGTTTTGGGGATGATAACACTGTCTGGCCGGAGATGAAGTTGTGAGGACCTTGGAGCCGTTGTGGTACATGGACGATGGTGATCCAGGTATGTTAACCTCCTGCTCTTTGATTCCTGGCTGAGAGTGGTGTGGTTTCAAAGCCGATAAGTGTCCTGTGATCTCAAGCTTTGCTGCGGCCGATGGTGCGCCACGATGTTATGGACGTTGTGGTGCATGTCTGATGTTGTAGTTGTGGACTTAGTATATTTTTGGATTTCTTATTTTGCCTGCTATTCTTGAGGGTGGTGTAGTCCCCCAGTCCCCCACTACTTTAGGGCGAAGAGTGAGTGAGGGGTGAAGGAGTAGCTTGAAACCTAGGCCGGGGCGGGATCCTCATACTGGCCTTGAATCCCTCCCTTTGGCGATTTCCTGACCAAGGTAACCCTGTGGGAGAACCCTTGGACGCAGGTCGCTTTCAAAGGGTTATCATCAAGGGTTTTGTGTGAGGGCCGATGGTCGTTGGGTTCCCTTCCCTTGTGGTGCTGTGGACGTTGTAAGGCCTTCCTTTATATAATATGTATGGCCGCTTGAATGTCCGATACGGGTGCTGCCTGGGTAGCCGTAGCCTGTGTTGGCCGTTGAAGGCCCTGGCCGCTGTGGGTGTTGTTTTCCCCTTCCTCGTTCCGTAGAGCCTGCTTTGCTGGTGGGCTATTGATCTGTGGACTGGGCCTGGCCCATTAACGAAGTGGTGGCATCCCATTGGTGGCCGTTGGTGTGGCCACTAGGGGGTGCCACGTGTAGTGACCGTTGGGGGGTCTATAAATACCCCTCCCATTCCGACGAAAGCTCTCATTTGCAATCTCAGCTACCGAGGTGCTGGCCAAATTTCTAGAGAGATAAACTCAAAGCAAGTGTTCTTCGTGTTCTTCAAGGCTTCAAGGTTAGTTTCATCGAAATTTTCCTCTGTACTTTGCCTATGTTGCTTCCTAGGCCATTGATCTAGTGTTAGGCGTTTGAACACCTTTAGATCTCAAAGTAGGTTTCCTTAGGCTCGTAATAGTGTTAAGATGAAGGACTTGAACGAAGAATACTACCCCTACGACGATGAGCCTTCCGCCAAGTCCCTTGACTATGAAAGTGGTCGAAGAGTTTTGTGAAGAGCTTGAAAACGTGAGCTCGTTTAAATCTGGGGAGCAGGACGATGAGGACGGTGAGGTCGAGGAGTCTGCCTCATCGCCTGGAGGTGGGGACGTAGGGGTCTCCCGAACTGCGGATGGGGCATCCACGTCGGCTGCCATCCCATGCCCGAAGACGGTGTCTGCCGTCAAGGGTGTCGCAGTTTTGAAAAGGGTGAGGAGGCCGAAGAGGGGACCAGCCTTTTCTTACCTGGATCTTGCCAGTATCTTCATTATCAGGCCACAGAGCAACGTGGGTGAATACCTGGTCGCACAGATGTACGTGGGGCCGTTTGGTAGGGTTAGGGCCCCCAGGCCGACGGACCATGTTCTCAATCCACCCCCAGGGTACTTTGGAGTGTACCCGATGAGCTTCGCCAAAGGACTTCAGTTCCCGCTGCACCCCTTCATCATCGAGTACCTAGACATGGTAGGGCTTCCTCCGGCCCTATTGACGCCGAATAGCTACTCGCTTATCATTGGGTTCCTCTTACGTTGTGTTGAGTTGGATTTCCGGCCGACGATGGCGTTGTTCATGAACCTCTATCAGATAGGCCGTGGAAGTCATCAGAACTATGTTTGCTATGCTACCCTCCAACAACTCCCGAAGAAGAGAAGCTTCACTGACCTGCCGACGTCCATCCACGGCTGGAAGGGTAAGTTTGTGTTCGTGTCGTTGGGTGAAGGGGGCATTGAGTTTCCCTCCGTCGGCCACAGTGGGCGGTTCAATCTTCATGATACGCCGAAGAGCTCCATTTTGGATGCTCAGGTTGAGGCTTTCCTGAAGGAAGGTCCGAGGAGCGTCAAGACGTATATCACAGAGTACAAGATGGTCGCCCTCAGCTTCATGAGGTACTTCGTATATGGTGATAAGGACGACGATGTAGAGTTGTGGCCGATGATGACCACGACTTACGAGGAGGCTGATGGTCCTGATCTCGGGGTGCCAGCTGAGGACGATGGTAATACCTTTTTTATGCCCTCCTTCTCATCGTAGCTTCGTATTTTTATTTGCTGACCCTATAGCATTTTTTCTGGTGCAGGTTTTGTCATGGATCGCATGTCCTTTATGAAGAGGGCGCAACTCAAGGCGGCTGAAGAGTTGAAGGCCCAGCAGCTTGCTACTGCCCCTGCGGCGAAGCCTCCTGTCCAGCCGAAAAAGAAACGGCAGGCCGACGAGGGCCA